AACAGGTCAATATCCACGTCACCTGCCACCTGCAGTAACAGGTCCAGGAGAGGGCTTCTATTGGGGTTTGAATCTCTGTCTTCACCAACTAAGCCTTTGGAACCTCTGTTTTGGTTCATTGGAAGATTAACATATTTAAGGTTGCTTAGGGGGAGAGCCATAAGAAAATGTCCACACAATTAGTTAGCCAAGAGAGTCACGACAGAAAGTATTCCTTCTAATTGAACAATTTCTGACTAGGTGGGCATTTCAAAACTTCCCGCACATACTATATGCATGCGTTATGGTACGCGCGCGCGCGTGCGTGTGCGTGTGCGTGCGTGTGTGTGTGAAAAAACTAAAGCAGCAGGCTGCAGTAACAACATTTCCTCTGGGAGCCATTTAGCCTTTAGCTAGCTGGTGAGCTTTAGGCTGATTTAGGCTGATTTCTCTGCCTCAGCAGGCTCAATCTACAATGCTGCACTTCTTCACCATAACAAAGTAAGCCTTAAACTGTACAGTACTTGTGTATCGACATATTTATTCCTGCATTAAAAACATTCCTCACTACTTAAAGCTGACATCTATCTGTAGGGTAGTCAAACTGTGTTGAACCTTTAGGAAAACCCTACGGTATGTCACATGAAGGTACAGGTGGGCAGTGTTCAATATGTAGAGAGTGCAGTCTGCAGATACAGGCTGTCAGTGACACAAGGTCTTCAGACACACCCTGCTCTAAAGCATGATATGACTTCTGACCCTCTTGACGTTGGCAATGTTTAAACCAACATACAGGCTGCTTAAAGCTTTCAAAAACACATAATTAGAGGATCTAGGGTATTTTAAAAATAAAATCTAGTTTTGATGAAATAGCCAGCTGTGTTAATTTGGCAGTTATTTATTGAATATTCTTTTGTTTTTTTCAGACTCCCTGAAGCTTAACACCTCATGCCTTGTATTGTCTCATTTTGAGTGAAACACTTTAAACTTCTACTGGATAATTCAGCTGGATCCTCACCAGACTACATAGAAAAGTAGCATGTCCAACCCACATCTAGTATGTGGACAGCCAAGATAAATGTCTGTATTTAAGAACTGCCACAAAGCTATTTTGTGCATTTACATACAGACATGTGCGTATGTGCACTGAAACACCCTACGACCTTCCTAGCTACTGTATATTTAAAGGTTATTTAGTCTGCAATCCAGATGTGGCTTCACTTCAGTTGTTTGGCTCTCAAACTTCAGGTTCAACATTACATGTATTTGAATACTAAAACAACAAGCTATAATTATTCTGCAATTCAAGAACAGAGATTGTACAGCAGCAGTTTTGTAACCCCTATAACTTTAAAAGCAGCACTGTGCATGTCCAAATATCTGGATGTTATATTCAAAGTTTTTTGTATACATTTGCTATATCAAGGTATATAGGGTAAAAGTATATGTATCCACTTGTTGGCAGATCAGAGCAGAATCTTTGTGTTTCACTGTGTATGTGGCTTTTACACAGGATCACAATAAGTCATAATCAAGGTTATCAACTCTGAAATGTGTATTAAACAGGAAGTACTCATTTGAAATCGAATGTAAGTAGAGAGTGAGTACGCACCTGAGTACGGCTGACACTGATTGGCTCCTTGAGGACGATCCAGCTGACGCTCTCCAACAGAGGGGGCGTGGTCAGAGAGCCGTCATAGGTCCAGAAGTCCAGAGAATCAGGCAGGAGGGTCTTTGGGTCAAAGTTAGCAAAGACGGTCTGCTTCCCCTGCAGGTGTGAGGGCGGAGGAACAGGGAAGAGGGGGTAAGGAAAGGAAGGGAAGCAGTTGTCGCTCATTGTTAACCATTACAATTGTAGGTCTTCCAATAATTTAAAATGTGCTTCATTGACAGAATAAGCTCATTTGTCTTCAGCAGATATGTTTTGGGATTTGCATGGATCTGCGTGTTTTTAACATAGGCGGCCTGTGAGGCTCAGGGTACGGAAAGCTAATATTGGACCAACTTTGAACACCACAGAAGACTGAATTATTATTATTATTATGTTTAGCATATCATACTGAAAAACAATAACTAGGGGGGTGAATGTTTATACCAGGTGTACAATCATTTTGACGCTAATAATCATAATATGGTAGATTACAAGGCTACATAAAAACGAGACTCAACGATGCCGGGCTAATGTGCTAATGATTTAGCGCTTCACAAAAACAATGCAAATACATTGAAATTGAAACATGACATTACAAATGAAAAATGAAATTCATACACTATGTTTATTAGAAAAAGAAGATTTATTCAATACTATTGCTGTGAGCTAAAACAATGCTAATGTAGAGACAGCATCCGTTACTCTGCAAAAAGACATGCAATCTGTGATGTACATAATACATCTTCTTGCTGGAAGTGTACGTTGAGTTTGTAGCACTTTGTACATGCCTCACTCTGCTTGTTCTGACAGTTAATCATAGTTAGTGCTCTAATAGTGAAGTCTGATAGTGAAGTTCTTAATAGTTATTATTGAATCAGAATACCATTATTCGTCCAACAGAGGGGAAGTGTACACTGTTACAGAGAAAGTAATGAGCCAGAAGGGGTAACATATTGACTCAGAGACATGCATATAATATTAAAGATACAATTAGAAATTACACAAATTACAACTTAGAAAGATACACATCCAGATGGACAACATTAACAACCAATAGCAGTATCTTTTTAAAATAAGTGTATTAAGTAATGTGCTAGCAGCCAGGTAACCGGAGTGAAAGTGGAAGTATGTATTGCACAGTTAAATGTATTTGTTGACGATAAAAACCTGATATAACCTGGTATTTCGAGTGGCTTATCAGAATGTATCGTAGCAGTAGCATGTATGACTTTTAGGAAACATTGGTAAGCACAGTAGTAAATCGACCAATCATTTATGGGAGGCTAAGCTTCTCTAGCGTTTTTACCCCCCACCACTGATTTTTACCTTGGTCTTAATGCTGTCAAAGGCATCCAGAACCTTCTGAAGCCGGGGGTTGGCGGCACCGATCTGAACGACAGAGACAAACACAGTTACATTTACAGTAAACTTTAGCTTTATTTATTTAGATTGTCTCTTAACCTTACATCGTGCTGTGAACGGCATGAATACTTAAAGCTACCCCCCACTCCCTGCCTCCAGTGCAGTCAGACTGAGACTCACCTTGAGGAAAACCCCCACCACTGCAAGGCCATCAGGCTGGCTGGCTGCCTCTCCAAAGCTGGGGTACTTAGTGTTCCAGTGCACCAGGTGAAGCTAACAGGGGAAGAGGCACATTTTAAGAAACCCAGGCTACAGAAAGTGTGTCATCTTGTCCAAAATATACTTTAACAAGTGCAATAACGTGGATATTTTACAAATAATAAGACAGATCTCTAAAAAGAAGAACAATGCAAAATGTTTCAGCAAGAGTTTGAAGCGCATCTGTGATAATGTCAGATGTATCAGACAAATATAAATATCTCCTTTTCTTTATTATTAGAGATAAACCACCAGTCCGATTGTTATGACACTTGGTGGAACAGTACAGTATGGCATGGGCCAAGAAAGAACCCGTTACGCATTGAAGCAGACGGAGTCCCAGCAGGTCAGATATGTGAATTACTGTTCACTTATGGAAACGATCCATCGAGTTAGTTTATTTCTTAATAGGTTCTAAAAATAATTTGAATATATTGGAACTAAAGACACTGGAATCTATCAATTGAATACCCAATGTGTTTTTGTATTGAGTAATGTAGACTCCAGTCACCCCCAGTTCTTTCTTAAACAATCACAGAAGTAATGCCCCTTGTGTGTTTTCATACAGAACCATGAAGAACAGTGTTACTCATGTTTACTGAATCATCTTGCCAAAGACAGGACAGTTCCACCATCACAGACCACATGCTGTCCAGGCCCTGTTCCTGCAGGGTTAGTGAAGCAGCAGCTCCTTCAGTACCTCACAGGGGGACCTGATGCCGTTGACGGTGTGTTCGGAGCCTCTGTCATTACTCGCTCCCCAGTGGAAATGAAACTGCTTCAAACGGTACGTTCCAGAAATAGGACCTCCAGTCAGGACTGGTGAGCACAAAAGTCATTACAGATGCAAAATGTCAATCTGAATGAAATACTGTAGTTCTACACATTCTACAGACCTTTGATGGAAACAATTATGGAGAAATCATCATCTGATTTTTGACTGAATTATCATTAATTGGATAATTTCCAGATAATTTCGTCCTTATAATGTGCAGCACTTATCTTTTTAAAGTCAGAGAAAATTACACACTGATGACGTCATCATCAAACAGATGACACTTTTTAGGCAGATGTCCTCCAGATGCTTACACGGTGATGACATCATCACACGCTCTTATCTACTTAGTACAACATACAGCGGGGTGGGGTCCTGAATGGGACAGCCAGATAAAGCTTACTATGGTTAACCTTTCCCGAAATGAATATATAATATAACGAGTGTATACCGTATAAACAACACTGTAAAGAGTGCATGAATGAGTCCTTACACTCAGAATGAGTCAGCATTTTATCTCTTGCAGTTTCTTGTCTCAAATATTTGTATTTAAGCTTAAAATTAGGACTGCGGTTAATGCAAGATGAAGATTTAAACTATTAGTTTAACGACATAAAATCACTCACTTGTGAATGTCTTAAGCTTCTGTGTTTCATACAAACGGCGGTCTCTAAGAAGTGACTAAATTATGCTTTTAAATATCTTCCTGCGAAACATTAGCCACATTAGCTTAGCGGTGGAGGATGAGCAGCCATGTGACCAGGGCTGCCCTGGCCAACTTGTAGCCCCACGCAAAGTTATGTGACGAGGCCCTCTGTGTCGCGAACGTCGACGGGGGTGGATGTTTGCTGCTAGTGGAGCACGCATGAACTGCGAGCACGCTTAATTGCGGCGCATTTGCTCTTCAGTTGAGGCCCCCTACGCAGGATGAGGCTCCCTCCGCGAGGTGAGGCCTGCATGTGACCGTGAAGTTCCTTTATAGCCTAACGTTAGCTTCAAATATCATAAAGTGGTGTAAATACGCAGGTGACGGTCGGCCCATAAGGGCGCTAGGGGCGCCGCCCCCCCTCTCCTTTTACAGGAAAGGAGTGAGCAGAGGGTCGAGTTGTTGATTCTTGTTCTGTTTTCTGTGACTATCTTCCTCACCCTCTCAGACTTTGAGTTGCGCTGCTAAAGAGACGCGCTGCCATGGAAACCAAACAATGGTGTAGCTGTATTAAATTCCGAGTGGAAACAGTCGTGAGTAAATCTGATTTTGTCAGAAATCGGGAGAAATGCGGGCGAAATATGACCTTGGGAGGAAACCGGGAGAGGGCTATGAAATCGGGGGTCTCCCGCGAAAATCAGGAGGGTTGTCAAGTATGACACACACACACACACACACACACACACACACACACACACACACACACACACACACACACACACACACACACACACACATAATGTTCGTATTTAGTCTCCT